GTCACATCCAGAGAGGATAATTCTAGAAGGAAAAACTCCTATTTTCCTTCCTCCCCTTCGGAAAGCACCTAGGAAGCTCACAGAGCTTTCCTGGCAGGAGAGGGGGCAGGGCTTTGGCCCCCTGTGCCTCATCCATCACTTCCTAGAAGCACAAAGCTATGAAAACAATAGCAGGGACTCCGTCCAACACCAGTTGCTCCTGGGAAGGATGACATGAAGAGCCAGCAGGGCCGTGGAACTCAGCGTTTTCGATAGCAGCCTCCCTCTCTCCCTGTGTGCCTCCAGGGCTACAACTTCCCAAGGGCCCTCTCCTCTCTTTGAGGGCACCTGACAGGATCTGGAACCCTTCAAGATCCTCTTCTGCACAGTAGGCGAGAAGTGGACATTGGGAAGATCACTCCACAGAAAGATGTGGGTGGCAGGAAAAGGGTTGGGGGGCAGAGGATGGACAAACTGACAGCCTGGTAGGTGCAGTGTGAGGGTTCCCTTCCTCGTGTCTGCTTTACACCCACAACGAACCAGCCCTTTCTAGAGCAGGGCAGTTCACAGGCAACCAATCAGCAGTTATTTACATCAAAGGGCTGCTGGATTGGGCCAAAATGCTGACAAATTGAACAACACAAAAATTAGTAGCACTGGCCCTCCCATTTAACCTTTTGGTTTCCCTTCGTTAACAATACCCACACTGCAAGAACAAGAACATACTGATTATGAGGAAAGCAAGGCAAACCTTCTCCAAGTTTAATCACTCTAAGCTGTACATATTCTGTAAAGTCTTTAAGACACAGTGCTATAAAATTACCTTGATTTACGTGTGGATATTGCATTATCTTGATGCATCCTTAGTTAGTCCTTGGTACTTAAATGGATTTTGGTATTTGATTTGTTGTTTACTTGAATCAACATTACAAAGTGTTCCAAGGAATGGTTAAAAATCTGCAGGAAAATTGAGCACTCTTGTTAGAGACACATGTTAAATTTCCAAGTAGTGCACTTGAAGTAATTTTTTTTAACCTTTTAAATTCCAAATTTGACCAACCAGTGCTTTCCCGCAGCTGTGCAAAATTTTTATTTTTTTTTTTTTTACTTGGATATATGAACTCCCCTGTATCCTGCCAATAGAAAAAAAAATCAATTCCCCTATCTACACAAATCCCTAAGTGCATGCAATTAGAACGTCACATTCAAATTTGCACATTAAGCTTTCTTTAAAAAAAAAAAAAACAAAGCTGACAAATTGGAAAGCATAACTATTAAAATGATTACTGAAACGC